CCTCCTCCTCCTCCTCCTCCTCCTCCTCCTCCTCCTCCTCCTCCTCCTCCTCGGGGCGTCTCGGACAGCGGAGAGCGCCAGAACCGGCGGAGCGACAGGCCATCCAGAAGTTCCCGACCAGTGCTAGCCCACGGCTCACGACCTCGCTCGCGGCTCCGCCAGGTCCCGCCAGACGGCGGATCGCGGGAGCCGACTCCCCGCTCACGGGCAGGCGGCTGGCTCAGCCTCTCTCGCTGTCCGCCCCGCCGTGCGCGTCGGGAGAGAGATGGGCCCATGACGAGCGGCGAGCATGTCCATATCCGCGCCCTCGCGGTCCTGGGGAGGAGCGGCCCCGGGATCCAGGACCCGTTTCCTTCAGGATCCGCTTGTTTCATGCCAAGCATGCCCGTCACGGTCATCGCGGCCGAGATGTCCGCCCTGCGATCCTCGGCCCCGCGCACCTCCCCGGCCTCGCGCCCTCGCCTCGCCCCCGCTCGCGAGCCGCGAGCATATCCGCATCCACGCCCTCGCGGTCTGGATTCTGGGGCCGACCCCGCGGATACCTGGTCGCACTGGTACGCTCCGCTCGGGGCATCAGGGAAAAAGAGCCTGGTGTCCACGGGGTCGCGGTCCAGGGAGGAGGAGGGGGAGGGGTGGGGGAGGAAGATGGGGGGGAGGAGGAGGAGGAGGAGGAGGAGGAGGAGGAGGAGGAGGAGGAGGAGGAGGAGGAGGAGGAGGAGGAGGAGGAGGAGGAGGAGAGGAGGAGGAGGAGGAGAAGGAGGAGAAGGAGGAGGAGGAGGAGGAGAAGGAGGAGGAGGGGTGTGGACATGTTTTTTTCGCCCATGAGCCCCGCTCTCTCGGACAGCGCAGAGCCCAATCGGAAATCCGCGCATGAGCCCCGCTCCTTTCTTGCGCAGGCGTCGGGCGTCCCGCGAAGGTGAAGCGCGAGTCGTCGGCGGATTGCCGCGCGCCAGAGAAGGAGCCCCGAGGGGAACGGGTCTGGGACGACCTGAGGCTCCCCCTGAACAAAGTGGTCATGCCGACCAGTTTTTGGCACGGCTTCGGCGCCCTGACCAAAAAAAGCCGAACAACGGATGACAAACTATGCAATGTTTCCTCGGGATCCCTTTTCTCCCGAGGTCTCTAGGGGCCTCTGGGAGCCTAAGTACACGGAACAAAATACAACTGTCAAGCATGTTAGGTAGCGTGGACCCAAAGCACCAGACGCAATATGCAATGCAACATGTGAGGCGCAATCTGCAATGCAACATGTGTGGCGCAACGTGCACAGGGTCAAACATATGTGCTGTCGTGTCCCAGGTGCCGTGCATCTCTAGTTACTATATAGATAAAAGCACGTAGACACTGGCACGTCGACATAGGCATGCAAATTGGCACATACCGAAGCATGATCCTCTACATGATGTTGCACATACGCACATATGCACATACACATATGTACCATGTACATATGCATATACATGAAATTGTGCGCGTAAGTATACGCACACGCAGACAATCACATATATATATATAGCTATGTATATATATGTGTATATGTATATACACGTCTAGGTACCCATACACGTGTATCCCTACACCTATAAACATGCATAGACATAGAAACTAAAACCATCGGCGGAGCTTGTTTCAATAATACGGGGATGACATACCGGCGGAGACCGCGGCAGCAACACGCGTTCGGACGAACGGTCTGGCACGACTCCAGGGTAGCCATGGAAGCCTCGTGGGCTGTTTTGGGCCTTCGTTAAACTGTCTTCGCGAGTTGGGGGGCATCCGGGTCAATCTTGGGCGGTTGGGTATTCGGCAAGGTGAGAGCATTTACGCGTGCCGAAATCACTACGGGAAACGCGGCGGCGACGTCGTCAACGGCGAGGAGAAGGGGAGGCGGGCAAGAGGGAGGGTGATGTGGAACAGGAGAAGAAGGAGGACCAAGAAAAGGAGAGAGGGAGAGAGAGAGAGAGACGGAAAAAAACGAAGGGCGACGGATTGGGGAGCTGGAAACGAAGTCTTTGGCACGTCAGCGCGAGGCCCAGCTACGCATTGAACGGGGATCTAAATTCAAAACAACAGAAATGAAAAACACAAGAAAAAACGTGTGGGAATGATTTGTTTCACAACCCTCCAGTGTTTGGTTCTAGTTTTGAATAGAGCGCTGAAGTATCCACTCCCCCTCTTCCTCCGCCATCCTCCTGCTTCCTCCTGCGATGCTTCCAAGGAACTGTACAACTGTCACCACTTTCATGGGTTCCTGGCAGGTCCAGCGGAGTCGGGGGGCACGCGCACCAAGACAGGACCTCGCTGCTCCCTTGGTGGATGCGAACCGCGCAAGTGTCGACACTTTCGTGGGCTCCTGGGAAGTCCTAGCGTGGTCGGGGGGGCACGCGCACCCAGACGGGACCTCGCTGCTCCCTGGGTGGCTGCGAACTGCACAGCTGTCACCAATTGCGTGCGCTCCTGGCAGGTCCAGCGGAGTCGGGGAGGCAAGCGCATCCAGACTGGACCTCGCTGCTCCCTGGCTGGCTGCGAATTGCGCAACTGTCACCACTTTCGTGGGCTCCTGTGAGGTCCAGCCGAGTCGGGGGGGCACACGCACACAGACGGGACCTCGCTGCTCCCTGGGCTGCTGCGAACTGCGCAGCTGTCACCACTTGTCGTGGGCTCCTGGGAGGTCCAGCGGAGTCGGGGCGGCACGCGCACACCGACGGGACCTCGCTGCTGTCTGGGTGGGTGCGAACTGCGCAGCTGTCACCGCAGGCATCAGGCAGAGCGAGAGGACACACCTTCGTGTGGACTCACGGGGGAGCACGTGCGGCACGGGGTGCAGTTTCAGTGGTGCGGAACATGCGAGGCGGGGAATTAATCCGTATCCACCGCCTGGGAGCCGACGTCCTGGTGCCCCAGCGGGCGGTGGATATGAATATATTTCGGCCCCCAGGGGCCCGAATATGTCCACATCCACCGCCTGCCGAGGCTCCGAAAACTGACCCCCGAGGCGGAGGTCATGCATAAGTTCCCGCCTCGGAGAAACACGGGGTGACATGCATTTGGTGCAACATGTGTGGGGGGAGGGCCTCCTCCTCCTCCTCCTCCTCCTCCTCCTCCTCCTCCTCGTCCTCGTCCTCGTCCTCGTCCTCGTCCTCGTCCTCCTCCTCCTCCTCCTCCTCCTCCTCCTCCTCCTCCTCCTCCTCCTCCTCCTCCGCCTCCTCCGCCTCCTCCTCCTGGGAGGGGGGGGGCAATCTTTGTGGTGGCGCCCACGGAGCGGGCACGAGGTGGGCACGGGCGGGCCCTTGGCGAGAGACCGGGAATGCGCCAGGACACGCACGCGGTGGGCAAGAGGAGGAGGAGGAGGAGGAGGAGGAGGAGGAGGAGGAGGAGGAGGAGGAGGAAGAGGCGGAGGAGGAGGCGAAGGAGGAGGCGAAGAAGGAGGAGGAGGAGGAGAGGCGGATGAGGATGAGGAGGAGGAGGAGGAGGCAGATGAGGGGAAGAGGAGGATGAGGAGGAGGAGGCGGAGGAGGAGGAGAAGGAGGAGAGCACGGGGAGGCACTGGGCGAAAGTGCGGAGCGGCCATCGAACGCCAGAGGCGGGCACTGGGCGAAAGTCTGAAAAGCAGCCCGCCGAAGCAGGAGGCACCAATCCGCCATGAGACCCCCCTCAGTTTGATATCACGTCTCCTCCTCCTCCTCCTCCTCCTCTCTCCTCCTCCCTCCTCCTCCTCCTCCTGCGCGTCATCGTTCCTCCCTCACGTCAACTCCTCCCTCGTCTCATTTCCTCGTTCCAGCATGTATTCCTGTTTTCATCCCTTCCCTCCGTCACTTATTTTCCTTCGGTGTTGCCTCGTACAGGCCCCATTGGGCATGCAATGCAGATCCCCCATGAGGCTCTCCCACGGGACAGCGTGCCCTTTCAAGTGTCCATGCGTCTTGGATGGACCTGTTGATTTTGCCACACGTTGCAGATTTGATGGGGTCATGGAACGTTCTCGGCCCTCTTTGGATCTCCAGGCCTCCGGGAACATCTGGAGGCCTCTGGGACACAGACCTCGAGACCACCAGAGCCCTCCTTGCGGAAGGTCTGTAGTGTAGATGCACGGCAGCTCGCGCCAGGGGAAGCGGCAATGGTTCGGTAAAGGAGCGCAGGCTCATGTCTCGCAGCCACCTCCAGCAAGCTTGCGGTGCCTCCTGAGAAGCTGCGTCAGCATCACCCTCTCGGGAACGTCCTCAGTCCGCCTTGATGTCCCTCGATGAAACGCAAGGGCCTTGATGTCTAGTCGACTGTGTTCTTCTTCGGCCAGCAGTTCGGCGGCCAACGCCATGGCCTTCACAATGACCTCCCACGGATTGTTGAAGACACCTCCGCCTAGTGGCATGAGAAACACCTTTGCCTTCCTTCCTGCTGCCGCTGCGCGGCAAGCGGCAATTTGCAACGCACCGTAATACTGTGCGACCAGCACGACCTCCGCAACATGCAGCTGAAACTTCTGTACATCTTCATCGCCGAAAGCTTTGCACACCACACCTATTCCGTTAGTGTAGCGGTTGATTGGAACAGCAGACGCGTAGAAAAGGTGGGTCGAGTGTGTGCACGAGGAGAATGCGCCTTTGTCTGGTCTCAGTCCGCAGGCAGGAACTCCAGTCATCACGAGAGGCCGCAGGGTGTGCGCGTGCGCGCGGCAGGCTTCGAGGATGAGCGCGGCTGCCTCTGCGCTCTTGGGTGTGGGCATAGTGAGGTAGCCGTTTGTGACGCCCAGCTTCTGACCCTGGAGACCCGCCTCCAAGATAGCCGCGTTGACTCTTCTTAGAAAAACGTCGACAGCGTTGATCCGCCACCGCATCTGCGATGACAGGCGCCTCAGGCCTCTGAAGGCTACAGCGTTCAACTACCGCGACTTGCGAAGCGACAAGCAGGGACCTCATCGGATGGCCTCCAAAAAAAGCACCAGTGTTGTTTAGCTTCGCGTCTCACCGTTATCCTGTGCCCGAGATGCCAACTTCTCTTGGATGACGGCACCGGCGAAACACCCAGAAACGCGTCGGCCTATAGAGGGCCTCCTGGAATTTCTGCGTAGTCTGCCAACGACCAGCCTTGGACAGCATTGAAGACCTACGCTTGGCACCGGACACCCCCAAAGATAGCCGCAGGACCCCTCCGCGCGCCCGAGAGACACGGCCACAGCACCTCTACAAGAGCCTCCTGATGATGCTCCCGCAGAGCCCTCGAGAAGGCGCCTGGGAGGCGAAAGTCTTGTGCAAAAGCGTTCGTCATGTCTTTGCCGTGCCCACGCCCGGAGCGCTCAAGCATACCCTTCGTCGGTCTAATGACGACCTTTCGAAGCCCCAGACGGCGGCCGAAGGGCCCCGAAGCGGGCCCCAAAGAACGGCCCAAGGACCCCCAACACGGCCCAAGACGGTCCAAGGCCAGAGCCAGACGGCTCCGTGGAGGCCTCAGACTGACCCAGGATAACCTCAAGAACCCCCGCAAGCCGGCGTCTAGACCCCCAGGACGACCCCAGGACCCCCCTCACGATCCCAGGATCTCCCAGCAGACAGCCTGAAGAGACCTCAAAAAGAACACCGAGACGCCCCCAGGAGGCCCCCAAGAGGCCCCCCAAAAAGACGTCAGAGGACGTTGCGACAACCGTGCAACGCCACGGCTGGTATCAGAACGCAGCGTTGCTACGCAGCCAGGCGCGGAGTCCAATATGCGCGTCAGCGAGACTGGATACCCTGAGCCCTGAAGGTGCAGGCAGCATTGTCTAGCATGAACTGCCCTGCAGCGGGGTGTACAGCGAGCTGTCCACGAGGGCCTCCTGTATTGTCGGACTTATAGTCTTCGATGCTACTCACTACCTTGAGGTGTGAGGGGTACTCCGCACCGTTGAGCTGCGAAGGGAGAACAAAATACGCCTCGTCGTTCGCAGGATTCTGAATCTCAGCCATAATCTCGGAACTAACAACCTCGATGCATGGCATGTCCTTCTCGCCCAAACTGTCGAAGGCGCACTTGGGATACCCAGAGTCCGCCTCATCGCCAGGCAACCTGGCGGCCGAGAACGTGCCAACGACCTGCCTCGAACTGCCAGGCGACTGTTGAGGAGTCTCCTGAGAAGCCGGTGGTGGCCCTTGACGGGAGCTGCAAGGAGCAGCAGCACTGAGGTTAGGCGGGGACGCACCTTGTGCTGCACTTTCGCCGTCTGCACTGGGAGACCCCAGCGCGCCTTCTGCGCACTGCGCTGCCCAGAGTCTGCCCGTGGCCTCCTCGAAGACGTACGAGCCGCTTCGGAACACATCGGCGCCCCGGGATGCAGCACCCTCGCCCCTGCCAGAGACATGAGCCGAGAGAGCATACGTGCCTGTCAGGCACGCCGAACTCCGAGACATGCCGAATCGATCGACGAAGCTCTGCTCCTCGGCGGAAGGCACCTCGCACACGGCAGGGACAGGAGGTCCGGGCCCCTTTCCCCCTCGCCCCTTCGAAGGGAGAGGTACCCCCTTGCGGCAGCCTCCCTTCGCCTTGCCCTTCGTCACCCCCCCTCCTCCGCCCGCGGCGCCCACAGTCCCATCTGCAGCAGGGTGCATCCGACGCAGGTCAGCCAGACGGAAAGCTCAGAGACGCAGGCGGCCCATCATGACACCACCGCCACCGTGCGCAACATCCGCAGGACCACCTCTGGGGCTCGACGCAAGCTGAACCAAAACAGCCACGGGCGAGGAGGCAGAGAGGAGCAGCAGGAGAAGCAGAAGCAGGAGGAGGCACCACCGCTGCTGCATTCTTGCTTGTGCAAAGCTGGATGCTGACTGCTGCCATCAGCTAAGGGGCCCGTCTCGTCACCTCCTTCTCGGGGGCGATCAAGCCGAAGCGTCAGAGGAGGAGGAACAAAAACAAAGCAGCATGTTAAGCAGGAGGAGAGCGAGGAGGAGGAGGAAAAGTAGGCTCAGGAGGGAGGTACAGAGGAGGAGACGGAGGAGGAGGGAGGAGGAGGAGGAGGAGGACCCACCCCGCCTCAAACATCGGCCCCCCGACCACATCGAAGAGCACGTTCTGGCAAAACGTTCGATGCGGACTTCACCCGTGAGGACGAGAACGCCCCCGTTGGGCTGACAAAAATATGGCAACAGAAAAGGCGTCCAAAAACATCTTCCTCCTCCTCCTCCTCCTCCTCCTCCTCCTCCTCATCATCATCATCATCATCATCATCATCATCAGCAGCAGCAGCAGCGCATCATCATCATCATCATCATCATCATCATCATCATCATCATCATCATCATCATCATCATCATCATCATCATCATCATCATCATCATCATCATCATCATCATCATCATCATCATCATCATCATCATCATCATCATCATCATCATCATCATCATCATCATCATCATCATCATCATCATCATCATCATCATCCTCATCATCATCATCATCATCATCATCATCATCATCATCATCATCATCATCATCATCATCATCATCATCATCATCATCATCATCATCATCATCATCATCATCATCATCATCATCATCATCACCATCATCATCATCATCATCATCATCATCATCATCATCATCATCATCATCATCATCAGCAGCAGCATCATCATAATCATCATCAGCATCATCATCCACATCATCATCATCACCATCAGCATCACCATCACCATCATCAGCAGCATCATCATCACCAGTAGCATCATCATCATCATCAGCATCATCATCATCATCATCATCACCATCAGCATTATGACCATCAGCATCATCAGTAGCATAATCAGCATCGTCATCACCATCAGCATCATCATCATCATCTTCTTCATCGTCAGCATCACCATCACCATCACCATCACGATCAGTATCACCATCAGCATCATCAGTCCTCTTCCTTCTCCTCTTTTTCCACCTCCTCCACTCTCCACCCCCTCCTCCTCGTTCTCCTACCGGAGCCCCTCCTCCCCCTCTCCGCATGCACCTCCGCCTCCTACGGCTCGATCCCCATTCTTCCTCCACCACCTCCTGGTCCTTACTGAACTCCTCTGCCCATTCTCCCTCTCCTTCCTGATCCCCCCCCCCTCCCCCTCCCCCACTCTCCTCCTCGTCCTCCTCCTCCTCCTCCTCGATCCTCTTCTCCCCCGCCCCCTCCCTACCCCTCCTTCCCCTCCTCAGCGCCGCCTGGCCGAGGAGCCGCAAAGGGGGAGAGGGGGGCGGCAGGGGAGCCAGCTGCGGCGGCCGAGCAGGGGGCCCTTGCGCTTCGCCTCGAGGTTCTTGCGCACCCGCGAGCGCGAGTGCATCTTCGGGGAGTTCGGGGCGAGGGCGGAGGAGGAGAACGGGGACGAGCAGGGGATCCAGGAGGGGATCGAGGAGGAGGAGGAGGAGGAGGAGGAGGAGGAGGAGGAGGAGGAGGAGGAGGAGGAGGAGGAGGAGGAGGGGGGATCGAGGAGGAGGGGGGGGGGACCAGATCTGTACATGCGCACCGCCACTGCCTGGGACCATCCTGGGCCCAGAGTCGGTGCATATGCCTCCCAAGGTCCTCCACCCCTCTTTATCCTTCTCCTCCTCCTCCTCCTCCTACTACTCCTCCTCCTTCTCCTCCTCATTCTCCTCCTACTCCTCCTCCTCTTCCTCCTCCTCTTCCTTCTCCCTCCCGCATCCGTTCCTCTTTCCGTCCGCCGTCCTTCCCCCTTGCTATTATCCATTCTCCTCTCCTCCCCTTATCATCCGACTGCACCATCCTCTCCACCTCCGATCCTCCTTTGCATTCTTACCAGCTCGTGCCATCCCCCATGTTACTTCCAGGTGTCTCTGCGTCCCAGGCGCGCCGAGGCCTCGGCACTACTTAGTTGTGCCACGCTGTGCCTGCTCCGAGTACGGCGCATCTCGATTGCGCGCGTGGTCGCTTCACCCTCCAAGACGCCGCCCGACCTTGCACTCCACATGACCGCGGCTGTGTGGTGTCGCTGAACCCTTCGCGAAGTGAAGGACGGGGGACACGGATGGCAGACATCCTGTGAGTGGCGAGGTCGGCTTGGACAACCGACCCGGCGAGGCAGCAGAATCAGCACGATGGGCAAGGATGGGAGGGGCGGCTGGGATGCCAGGCTTGCCGCAAGCGCACCAAGGTTGATATGGACAGCTCCTTGGGGGGCATGTATCCATGTGTAGATTATACTACTCTCCCCTCCGCTCTGACTGCGCCCAGCTGTATAACCAGCGCCTCCCGCAGATTCTGTCCGCACGGATTTCAGACGCTAGTATGGTGTATGTGCTTGTTTGTTCGGAGCGCACTCGGTCCTTCAACATGGTTCTCTCGCTTTTGGCCGCATTTCAGGATCGATACTTTGCTCTCGTCGTTCAGAATGTGCTCTCCCCAGCGAGGGCGACGTTTGTGAATCCGATTCCTCCTCGTCGTTGCCGTCCTCCTCCAGTCCCCTTCTGTCCACTCCTCTGCCTAGCACGATCCTCATGCCCCCTGCCCACCAATACTTTTCCTGCTACTGATCCTCCCCTTCCTCATCCGACTCCTCCTCCGTCCTCCTCATCCCTCCTCATCCCTCCTCCTCCTCTTCCTCCTCCTCCTCCTCCTCTTCTTCCTCCTCCACCCCCCTCTCCAATGCACAAAGACCCCATGTCGATTGTGCAGCACACGATGGGCCGAATCCTGCAAGCGACATTTGGGAATCAAGGTCTCGTTCGATACCCCAGCCAGCGGGTGGAAAAGGATCCGACGGGGGGTGGGAGGGGTAAGATGTCAGATGTGGCGCAAGCGCACCTAGCTTGCCTCTCTCCTCTCTCATCTCTACCCGCCCCCCCTCATTCTCATCCTCCTCCATCAAACAATCGCCACCTGGAAATCTCTGGAGGCGCGTTCTGGCCAGGATCCTGAGGTGAAACGAACCCTGGCGACGAGAACGGCAGACGAAGGCTCGTGGACTGGCTGGGTCAGAGAATTCGCCACGTTGCCGCCCGTGACCGCCTCGTGGCCGCCTCGTGGCCGCCGCGTGGCCGCCTCGTGCGCTGCGTGCGCCTGGCGAGCTTCAGCCACGCTGCCGCCTCGTGGCCGCCTCGTGCGCTGGGTGGGCCCGGCGAGGCGTCGCCACGCTGCCGCCCACGGCCTCCTCGCGGTCGCCTCCTGGTCTGGGTGGGTCCGACGAGGGTTCACCACGGTGCCGCCCCGTGGCCGCCTCGTGGCCGCCTCGTGGCCGCCTCGTGCGCTGGGTGGCTCCAGCGAGGCTTCGCCGCTGTTGCAGCCCGTGGCCGCCCCGTGGCCGTCTCGTTGCCGCTTTGGGGGGTCCGGCGAGGATTCGCCACGGTTCCGCCTGTCGCCGCCCGCTGCTGCCAATGTCCGCATCGTTGCAGCTTGGGCGGTGCCCAGGAGATTCGCCGCGATGCCGCCCGTTGTCGCCTCGCTGCCGCGTCACCACACTGCTTACAGCACACAGCTTGCACCACATTGATGATCCTTTCTTTTCAAGAAAACAGATTCGACACGCACCTGGGATGATCCGCCCCCTTTTCGCATTGCAATTTGCATACAAGTCTGCCCCATCGTCATCCTAAATGTGAACTCATACCATTTCAAGCCTGCCAGTATCCGCTCCCCCCCCCGCCATCCTTTGCAAAACATGTTATGTGCAAACACCCGTTGATCACAAAGCATAAGTTTTCAAACATGCCTTGCGAAACATAAGACGAAGTGCACACGCGAGCGTCGTCGCGCGCATGCCGAATATCTGATATCAAAAATACGCGATCGAG